AGGGAGCAGTTTGGCTAAAGGGCACAGCCCTGACTGACACTCTATGGGGCAGTGTGCTTTTCTGGGGCCTCAGGTGGAGTATTAATGGGCTGCAAGTAGAGCTACAGGTTCAGAGGCCACCTGCACCATTGCCATCCCTGCCAGATGGGGCTCCTGCAGGGTGGTTTGCTCCTGTGCCACGTTTAATCGAGGAAGTCTGCAGGTACAGTCCTGTGTTGGTGACTTTATGGAGGTCAGAACAAACTGGAGCTATAAATAACTGACCCATGGATGCTGTATTTGCCATTCTGGTATTGTCTACCTCATAGAGCCTTGTTTATTGTCCAGTTTGACTTATAGATAGGTGATATGCTCTAGGTAGAACAAAAAGTGCAAGTAGTGACCAATGGAAATGGTGCTTGGTGTCTGTCAGCTGTTACACCATTACCCAGGGAGGATGGCACAAACGGTTATCCCAGTGGGCTGCAGAAGGGAGTGGGGGTGTAGAAGCAATGTCAAGATGGTGATAGCAAATGGCACTGTGTGTGCTGCTCAGCAACTAACCCAAAGCAATGTCTCAAGTACTGTTTAAGGTTTCAGACGACAAACCCCCTATTAAGTACAACATGGGAGGAAACTTACATCCAAAGCGACTGAATTCCATCAAGTAACAAACAGCCTGTGTGAAACCTTGTGGCAAGAGCACAGAGCACCATCTCGGGTGCCTCCTCAATCCCAACAAACTGTGGAGGTGGCCATTACCTGAGAAAACTCACTGGTTAGCTTGTGGGGGACATATTTGGGCGATTATCAACGACTCATGATGCCTCATTGCACCTAATTGCTGTGCTATTGATGGTAATCAGTTTGTTGTTCTGTATTTCACTATGTCTGTGTGGGTGTACCTAGTGAAGAGTCTGCCACCTGGAGTGCTTGGTAGCGCAAGTTCATCACTACTAGACCCCAAGAGCGAAAGCAGGGGTCTGACAGCGCAGCCCTGCCAGTGTGCCTTGGGCTGAGGGAGACGGGGCATCTGCAGTACGACTACTGCACTCTCAGTCACCTGGCATGGTGTCTGGCATGGGTTAAGGAGGGGGCTATGGCAAAAAACCTGCAAAGTTTGAGTTATATCCCAAGTGACTGTGTGGTCCTGAAGCTCCCTAGCTAACCTCCGTTGAGGTGAAACAATGAACTAACTTAGTATGATGTGATTCATGAAAACCGTTTCACAAGGACCAAGATTGTCAAGCCCCGATGGTGACTGGTTAATTGTCTGTGCCTTGTTCACTTTTACTGTTCATTTTGTGCTCCGTGGGTGGATACACCCGTGAAGGCTTAAGCTATTTGTAAAGTAATGCTATATGATCTGAGTGGGAGTACTGTGGCCTTGCCTTGGCCAGGAGCTGAGTTCAATCTGAATTAGCTGAGTGTGGTGAGCTGCAGTGAACAGGGCAGTGCAACCAAGAACTGAGTATTTCCATTGCGTGGGCTGTGGATCAACAGCTGACAGAAAAGCACGTGAGACTGCTGGAAAGGCATACAGCAATCTTATTGTGGACTGATCTGATTAGTGGCCTGTGCTGGCATCTGACTGTGATCAAGCAGTAGAGATAGGTGCAGGGGGAGATGGGGTGACATGAATGTCTGACACAGTGTAGGAGTGGAGTGTCCGAGGCACAACCGTTACGTGTGGGAGCTGAGCTGTACCCAAGAGCCTGATGCTCACACTCCGCCATGCCATCTCCCCAGAGTAGTAATGGGGGATGGTCAGTCGTGTGTGAGAGGAATGTTTCCCTCACACTGCCTATCCCTCACTCAGTCCACTTAAACTGAACATGGCAATGTCATGTCCTTTCCCCACTGTAATCTTAATTTCCTAAACTAATACTCATATTAATCTAAAATGAAAGAGAAGGCTGGAAAATTAAAAAATAGAATTAATTTTATAACTATGGTGCTACACTCAGATATTTTCTAAAAAGGATAGTGGGTCAGACACCTCTGATTTATCTCCTCTTTGCACCTTATTCTTCTAGAATTTAAGACCCACAGGGACCTATGTCAAGAACCTATACATAAAGATACAAACCACTTCAGATTACGTGCATTAATCTTCCACTGTGGTTAAATTGTCTTTCTTCAATATCTTTTTTGGGCAAAAGTTTTCTTTTTGTATTTTCTTTTAATGATTCATCATCAAGTCAGTTTACAATTAGAAAGATGACTTTTCTAAACCAAATGCCCTCTGACTAAGATTTCTATTACAGACATGTAATCCATGACCTGGGAACATGGAAGTGCTGAAATCCCTGGTGTAAATGCAGCCATACCTTTTATGTACTGGTTGACACTTGCATTATGAACGCTTAAAATAAAGTTCCTCGTTGTGTGCTTACACGGGGGGAAAAAAATTCTCCCTTTTTGTAACATCTTATATTGGCTTTAAAATGGTACACTGGATTTGGCAACTCCAGGTTCTGCTGTGTGTACCCTCAGCTGTGTGTGGTCAGCCAGGAAGAGCAGCAGTGCCCACCCCGACTCGGGTGCTGCTCCTCCTGCTGCCCCACCACACGGCAGCTCTGCTTCTGCACACTGGGGTGCAGGAAGAGGCTCCTAAAATGGAGAAACAGTAGTCAGAAAGCCAGAAAGAGAAAAATGGCTTGTCTGTGGTGGATTAGGACAGAAATCAGCAGCTGAGAGTTCTGGTGAAGAGCAGTGGGGCAGTGACATGAGGTTTTAAGTGTAGATGAGAAGGAGGGAGCGAGGAAGAGGGTGGGCTGTGAAGGAGAAACGTATCTGAATAGTGTGATAGGGAGATCCTTAATAAATACACTGGGCTCTGCTTTCTTCCACACTGGCCTGTGTACACCCTTTTGTACTCAAACCACTGGTTTAATACCACTGGTATAATCCAAATTTACTGCAGGACCTCCCAACTAATAGGTATGTTAGTTCTGATAACCCTACAGCATATTTCTTGTATGAGTAGAAGTCCTTAGAACATAATTCTGCATCTTTATTCTACATCTACCATTCTGTAGTGACACTGTTCACAGGCTGTAGATACAGGATCATCAAGTACTGAGTAAGGAAATTACAGTTTCAAATAAAGACACTTAGTCTGTTCAAGGTCCATAGTAGGTCTCCAGGAAGTATCTGGCAATATTAAAACACAGTCAAACCTCAGGCCACAATGTCTACCCTTCACCTACCAGTGAGCAGAGGATTATGCTGGAGGAAGGGCTGATAACGTTTATGAAAAAAAAATCCATGAACCAGGGAACATGGACCCACAAACATGAAAGAACACCTCAGACTTTGACCTTTTACTCTTTGTATCTCAATATCCTCTCAAAAAAAAATCTGCCTTGGTGCTGAAAGTTGTAATGTCATGGGTCCAAAACATTGCTTCTGCTTCAGACTGCAGAATAGGTTGTGGTGACTTAACTTTAAAAATATACATTGTTGTCATCTACATCTGAGCTATTCAGGTGGCTTATGTTTTATATGGAGAGGAACCACATCCCACAAGTGCCTGCCTTTCCCCACTGAAGATCACTAGGTCTGAGGTAAACACCTACAGTATGGACATAATTTGTACAGGTGAGTCATACTCTCTGCTTCTGTAAGTGAAGTACAATGTTGGAAGAATCTTTTCAAATAGAGGGTTTAATGTGATTTTAAATGGTTGGTGATTTTTTTGTGGAATGAAGGGCTTCATTATTGCAGGTACAGGACTAATCTTTCTCTTGCCTACTTGTTATTCTTTATGTCCATTGCAAATTAAGTTTTATTGTGTACCTTTTCCTTCCCGTTATTCATCTGTTGTAAATTGATTTTGTTTCCTTTTTTTTTTTTTAATATACAATTCCTGACTTGGCCAAGTGGACTGCTTAATACAAGTCAGATCTTTTGCTTGCACTAGGATAGCTGCTGGCTGTGATCTTAGTATAGTTGGTTGTTCTAAAGAAAACGTCAGCTCCTCTAAATAATGCTTTTTCTTTACACTTGATTCCTACAGGATCTTACCTAAGACTTCTGTAAATTTACTGTAGATATCTCTCTTTTCCTTTCAGAATCATGAATGTTGTCACTTCACATTGTCGTTTTCATCTAGACTGCCTTTCAGTCAAATCAAAGCAAGTAAAGCTGCCTTTTCATTGCTTTCTCTACTTCATAGAGCATATTACTTTCAAATATATTCCCAGAACTTGCCAATCAGCCTATCTCCTGATATATATCTTTCCAAATAGATACCCACTAGTTAAATTCCTCAGTCACAAGTTCAGTTGTTTGGATGACTGTTGTTCAAAAAAATGATGTGGCATACTTCTTTGCAAGTCCAGTGCAAGCCCTACGTTTGACAACCTTTGTCTCTATGCCTCCAACTTCTCCCAACTCCAACATTGCTACTGTGAATAAGATAAATTGTACTTCAGAGGTGTGTGTTTTTCCCGAGCTATTCTGAAGTGAAGACAGACATGTACATGACAGATGTCTGAAGTCAGGTGAGATGGATCCCATGATTCCAGTCCAATCAAGGTCCTCTGACCTATCTGGATGTAACTACCAATACCTCAACTGTGAGAGCAGTCATTCATGTCTTTACTTGATGTTATAGTTTGCTTTTCACTACAGAGGAGCAGAGGACTTGGGACTTTTATTAAATTAACATTTTGGGATTCACAGCAAAAAGCTGTTTGTCCTAGAAGTGGGGGTGATATTTTACTAGAGTCTTAATAACTGATAAGACTAATTAAAATGCAGTCTTCTTTTATGTTTTAAAACTTCGTTGGGAATTGAAATGGAATACAATGCTTTGTATGAATGCTAGTCCATTTATCCAGCTTTTTTTTTAAAGATTTGAGCAGTGCTCTTTATGTCTTAAGTACTTCCATAATCATCAGTTTACCCAATAAACTTTCCTACGTTTTAAAGAACCTGCTAAAATAATTATAAGAACCTCTTCCCTCCATTTTAAAAAACATTTCTGAAAATAGAGGCTTACACATTCATTAGACTTTCACTGTATAAAAATGTACAGTGGTTTTATTGACATGTACATTCCATTATGTTTACAGCTGCAAGATATGAGGCACACTCAGTATTGCACTTCATTAAAATTTCAGGCTCAAACATAACCCAGAAGTTTAAATGAAACTGCTGTTGTAATTTAATAATTCTTATACAGGACAAACATTGATACCTTTATATACAGCATGATACTTGTTACATTTATGCCTTCCTAACACAGTTTTTTTTTAATAACAGTCTAGGAAATAAACCAGAATATTCCTCTTTCCCGTCCCCACTTGTGATGCGTTACAATTGTACAAGATTACAAAAAGTCAGTATACAATAATCAATATTTTTTTCTTTCCCCTGAAAGCCAGCATCATTCATAGTCCACAGACACACAGATCCTTTAATAGCAATTATTTATTTGTAAATGTCCAATGTTTCCTAGCCGATGACTGCAATGGCCACATGCAAACACCTCACAAGTTTTGGATGTCTTGGTTCAGAAAATGTCAATATCTCACAGCAAGAATTATGTACATGGTATTTGGCATCCTTCTTGCACTGTAAATTGTTCCTTGTACCTGGGTTATGAAATGGTCCCGTCCTCATCCCAGCTGGCCTTTATTTTCAGGACACTTGAGGGATGAGGGCACCTGTTTTACTCTGGTAAAAAAAAATGCTAGTCTAAAAAGTGTGAGCATTTCTGCAAACCCCACAACCCAGAGCAAATTCTTCACCAGTGGGTGGATGGACAACATGAAGTGGACATTCTGTTCCTTCAAGTTGTTTACCTTTGGGACCTATAGTGAATTTAAGGGTAAGGGAAAAATAAAATAAAATATTAATGCTTGCAGACTTGATATAAATAAACATATTTTACACTTCCTCAATACCCATGCTAAGTGAAGGTAATATGTCTATCATATGAACTTATAAGGCATCGAAAATGAAGGCTTAAGAAACAACAGATAAAAAGGTACTTTCACACAGTCAAATTCAAGCAAGAAGTCTCCAGGCTTAATAGGGCCAAGAGAAAAAATGCCATTCAATTAGATCTTACAAAACATGATCAAGAACTGTTAGCTCCTTAAAACAGTTACCTCAAAAGTTGAATTGGTGTTTGAAAGGAAGAAAAAAAAAAAGGTCAAACTGACATATAATTTAAAATAAATCAAATTCAAAGTAAAAAAGGCAAAAAAGCTCATAGGGTGAATCACAAAATAAGTTTCATCTCATTAATATTGTGGAAGAAATTAGCACAATCTAAAAGCAAAATCAGTAAGTATGAACAAGAGTTACACCCCGCAGTAAAAAAAAAAAAAAAAAAAAAAAAATTCTGAAGTTATCAGGAATCGTTGTGTTTATTTTATTTTTTTACTTCTTTCATGTAAACATCTTAATAAAAAAAAGCCTCACTTTTTTTCAACAGCAAGATAAAGAACATGTTTTACTGAGATCTAATCAATGGCACATGAAGTCAGAAATGAAGCGATTGTGATTGCGACCCTGTGATTTTCCTAAAAATCACCAGCAAGAAAAGATAAGAATATAAATTATAACTAATTACTAATCTCAGAATTCAGTGTGGTAAATTTGCTTTATTAAAATACTACCTGCAGGACAGTGTGGGAGTTCTTCTTTCGGGATGCTTGTCATTCTTTGGAAATCATCATGGCAAGCATTGCAAAAATGTGTTGTCCCAAAACAGAAAAAAACAGCAACTGAACAGCAGTAGCGGCATTTGTATTCTAAGAAATCCGTACCGTGTTTGGGACACATCTAAACAAAAGAAAACAAACACCAATAAATTAAGTAGCCATGCTGTAATGATCTGAACAAGACATTTCTACATTCTGTAGTATATATTAACATTATACAGTATTATACAATACATAGAAGTACAAATTACTGTGAATTATTGTACAGCTCAGGTACTTGGGAGCTTAAGAATGAAATAAAAACATTTATACAAGTTCTTTACTTACCTGAGCCCTTGAAACATCAGAGCATGCACCACAAATAAGCTCTCTTGGATCATAGTCATCTCCTTGTCCGGCCTCAGCATCACAACGAGCTTCGCCACCAAAATATGCCTAAATTTCATATAGGGATGATTGGACGTTAAACCAGAGACAACTATTATTTTAACAAATTCAATTTGCAAGGGGAACATGATGAATAAGGTTCATTAGTGTAGTCTCCGCTATTCTGATTACTCTTGACTCTGACTCTAGATACATGTTTTTGACTTCCTAAGACAGTCTCTCAATCTCAGGATAAACAAGACCAAAAATTGTGCAACATATTCTGGTCCATGCAAGTGGTTGAAAGGCTTTTGAAACAGTATTTGGATGAACTGTATGTAAGAAAGACAGGTCTGAGGCTGAAGGCAGCAGAGAAACGTTCTACCAGGAGGGCTTTTTACTAGCAAAAGGAGTATCAGTTTTTATGCTAATGTGGGATCCCTTATAATTAGAATTTTGCTATTTTATACAAATTCATTCTACTTTCTCATCTTCTTTTACCAGGACACACTGGGCACAAAAACACACCAAGTAAGACTGCCAAGTCTGATGGATTTCCTCATATACTGCAGTGATTTCACATAGAGTGATGAGGTGAGACAATGGGCAACTTCTTTGCTTCCTTTGTTACCATGCTGTTAACTAATTAGACACAAAAATTCTTGCTCTCAGCAATTATCACCTTTTTGCAGTGATTGTAAAAGGATAGGGAAAGTGGTTTCAAGGAAGGAAAAATTTTAAAAGCCCACCTTCCCCCAAAATCTGCAGACTAAAAAGAAAAGGGAGAGCCCTATGGAATCTATGTCAGGGAACTGGGTAGCAGGTTGAGGTGAAGAGCTGCTGAAGGAACTAAAGAAGTTAGAAATTAGATAGTTGAATGTTGCTGTTCAGATGTATGGACATAGTACGAAAGGGAATAACAAGATACAAGGGAAGGGAAAAGGGCAATAAGAAAAACACTGAAATACCGAGTATTAAATACTGTAAAGTGTAATGAAAAATAGGGACAGGAATAAGAACTGGAGAAAGTCAGATGAAAAAAATTTTTTGTAAGGAAGGAAAAAAGGCAGTAGGTAAATTGCTAAAGGATGAGTAGTAACAATTAACTTTGGGAAGAAGGAACAAAACTGAGCTGAGTAGCTCTGTAGTAATGAGCTAGAGGGATTTATTACTGCTCTTCTTTAGCATAGGGAAGTTAATCCTTTCTCCTCGTATTTCCAAATTGTTCACTTCCATTTAATAAAAAAATTACTGGGGTTTCCCTTGAAAGTTTTTTCATGAAATGTCCTTATTCCATTAATTCCTAAGGGAAAAAGGGAAAAGATGTGATCAAGATGGGCACTAAAATCAGCTTCAGATGAAAGAAGCAATGGGAGGGGTTCAGTGTTTATCCAAAATTTATCTAACCACAGATAAAGAATGTTTCTCTCTTCTCTGCTGGTGCAGAAACCAGAGGCTGTTGTGTATACAATTTTTGTCTTCTGGATAGATTTCATATTCTCCACCTGAAGAAAACTGTACCCATGTGACCCAGAGTCCCATCAGGCTAGACCAGACACCTCTTTCTGCTCCTTTCTCATTCTTCTAACACTTCTGGCCATCATCTCCACAGCACACCAACAGGCTTGCGATAGTGGTGATTTTTCTGCCCCAAAGTCAGTTTACTGCAGTTTCAATCAACTCCAACTTGGGTAAAAGTAATTTTTAAGTGGAATCTTAGTGAAGAACTCTATATCAAACAGTCAGGATGAAACCTATGGCTATTCTATTTTAATGTTAATGTAAAGTATGGGTTGGAAGTGGGACCACGGGATGGTTGGTGTTCTAACACAGTTATCTGCATGTTTTTCTAAGAAAGCTGGCACCTTAGTGTGCTTTTGGTTTCTGAACTGCACTGAATAAACTTTTGAGCTTTACAAGATAAGACACTATGTACATCTAAATTGCTCAACACTTTTTAAAAATTACGATTTAACAACAATTTATTTTCCTGCTTTCCTACTCTATACACAATATATTAAATATGTTTAATTCTTTAAGAAATTACTTTTGAAACTATAACATACATATAATTTGAGAAAGTACTCATCATCATACCTTTTTGCACTTGTAGCAAACATAGTAAGCATATCTGTTCATAGCATAGCCAGCTGGGTCATTATAAAATCTAACACCTGGTGTTGTGATGGCCTCACTCTTGTGCAATCCTTCATACTCCAATCTCATTAACGCTTTTCTCCTTACATCTTCATAGAGTTCTTTGATTGGATCAAGCAAATCCTTTAATACTGTATGATTGATTTTGTTCTGAAATAAAAAACTGATTAAAATATCTTGTACCTTTATTACAACTGCTGTGATAATTTGTATTGTGGTCAAACTCAAATAGTGTAATGGTGTCATACAAACCTAAAAGCTCAGGCAATGGACATTTTAAAAAATGGCTGATATAATGTATGCTTTATTTGCTGCAAAATTAGTATCCAGGAATGCTTTTTATATGACCTTTTGTTATATGAAACATTCACCACAGCACAGGAATATTCTGATCGTATGTTTTCTCTACTTTTGGTCCTTTTTGACTTACTGCTTAGCAATTAAGATTAATGACTGATTGGTGATCCTCTATGCTAGGTCTTTATCATTTAATAGTCACAAACTATTGCCAGAAATTACCAAAATACAGCATGAAGGAAGAATCACAGCATGCAGAAATGTCTGACCATTCACAAATTTCATAGTCCTAGGGTTTTAAGGTGCTCTGCTTCCCAGGGCTATCATAAGGCTTTTGCTTACAGCAATTACCATTTTGTAGACTACAAGAGGAATTTTTAGTAATTTAAGCTGAACTAATTACATATATTCTTTAGCTCTACCCTCATACTGAAAAACAAAGCAGCTTTAAAAGGGGGTAGTAGAATAGAGAAGCTAAATTTCCTGCTTCAGATAATGTGCATTGAGATTACTTCTACTCCCCCAGCTTCCCCAAATATTGGGAATTTACAAGCTGATGGTGCCAAGAGTAAAAGAGCATTAAGATAATGTCTGCATATGCTTTCTTTTTAAGGGGACCCTTACTTCAGGGAACAGTGGGAGAAGGTAAAAAGATGCATCAATGATACCCTTTCCTCAGTGACATAAGAAATTAAGGAAACACGTGACACATACCTAACTTATATACCCACAAGCAATATATAATAGAAAAAAAAGGAAGACCAAAGACAGTATCAGGTAACTTGTTTGACCTAGGCAGTAAACACATAGCTCATTTACCTTGCAAATAGGACAGGACATAAACCCAAAAGTTATCCTTGGCCCAAGCCATCTGTTTTCTAGTACTCGTTGACAGCATTGCAAATGGAAAACGTGGCTGCAGTCCAGCTTTAGAAAAGAATACATGCAAGGGAATGCTGAAGTTACGTTAACCACTAAAACAGAAGTAGTTATTTGCTTTTAAGCAGCAACATATCTCAGTTCCAAAATTAATTTACTTAAAAACCTAAAAGACCCCTATTTTCTTCTTAAAAAGAGAAAGAATATAAAACGGTTGTTAAAATCATAACCTTTCTGTGCCAAAAACCACCAGAGGGTGTATGAAATAGATATTAAATAGATCCATCAATTACGTTATTTGCTTTTCTCATTTATAAAGTACCATACATTTTAAATAAAGTAAGCACAGCAAAGTAAATTGATACAATCTGCTTTCCTGATATAACAGTAATGCCAGACAAAAAGAAAGCATTTTAAGTAACTTATGTACTGTTACAGTGTCTGTTCTGAAATTTTTAAGAGTATAATTTGGGGGACCTTATAAGTTCTTCCACACTTAACATTACAACCACAATATTATTCTCTTAAAAGGGGAAAAAAAAATATAAACCTGGATAGCTGGTGCTGCTGAAAGTGCTTCAGTAAAGCAGATCATGCACATGTCATCAGCATCTTGTTTAAGAGTTGTAGCGTTCTTATCACAGCCATGCAAGCATGGCAAACAGTGTTCTTCGTTCTTGACGCCTCCGCATGGATGACCACAGGGGTGTGTCTTGCTGCAGGCAATTTTAGCATATTCCTATTAAAAGTAAATAATTAATCTTTTTTTCCCCTCCACTGAACGGTTTGATACAGTGTTACTTTTTGAAAGGTCGCTGGTTTGTGCAATAAACTACGAGGAAAGAATCACGATTGGCATTGTCTACTGCCACAGCAGGTGCTTGAGAAAAACTGCACATCTGTGTACTTGAAGTAAAACTGATACCTTTGTTTACTTATGTTACTCTTGAATAGCAATGGCATAATGAAACCATAATTTTTAAATTTTAATATTAATATAAAGAGAAATAGTCTTTAATCCATATTTTTTATGTTAACTGCCTCCTGCATAAACACTGCTTGCCCTTTATTAACAGCCTTTACTATATCTGCAGATTTAGGTCCTTCAGGAAAGGTATGAAGCAAGCCACTCTTAAGAACACATTATGAGCTGATCACTAACCAGCATAAAGCACTTTTATATGGAAATGGTATTTTAACCACCTCTAATTCCTATCCCTAGGTAAGTAGAAAACTTACAAAAGTTTCCTAGAAGCTACCGACAAATTTAACTGAATTAATATAACAATAACAATATATTCAATAGGCTGAGAAAAAAATAACAAATTTGCTACACATAAACAGAAATAGGGTGGGAAGCTGGTTAGGATTTGTCCCTCTGCCAATTGTACCTGTAACTGTAAGACACAAAACCACTCAGGACACATGGATACAATTGACAAACCTGGCAAAGTCTTAAATGTTCTGTGCTCACATAATAAACAGGCCCTTACTCAAACTACTTTTATCAAGATTTCTAGTACGCTGGACTTTATGTTGACATTGTAGATTTTACTTTATACTTGGAATACTGTTGTGGAAACTTGAGCTAATTTGGAAGATAACAATGAAACTACCCAGTATTTTGGCTGACTATTGGTGTTTGTAGCCTGTAATTGAACTAAATATTTACAAACTCAAGTATTTAAATTATAATACAATATTCAATCCTTTTCATATGGGAGGTCTCATTTAAAACAGACCACAGGGATGAACAAGGTTTACTCAAAACACGAAATCCATTTGATCCTAGTCTCTTCTGTTTATGTAATTAATGATGATTGATATTTGTTAATACACACCTGGCAATCTGTATCAGAACAAACGCTTCCCACTGCTGATAATTCTGTTCCACTCCTACAACCACAGAAACGACATGCTTCAGAACTGCTGGTGGTCGGTTTGCCTAAGTCCACAAAAGTAAACAAAAATTGTTAATAATGAAACATAAGGGATTGATATTCTAGCAACAGACATCTAAACAACAATCACAGAAAACAACCAGAAAAACAGCAATTCTTATGCAGTTAAACTATTTTATTTTTATTAACAAATAATTCAAAGCATTGCCCTAATGCAGGTGAAAAGCCCAACTGCTTTTTTTTTTTTTTTTTGGACAAATGCTCACTTAAAAGGTAAAAATAATCAGGATAAAGAATAAGTAATAACAGTTGTGTTTTACCTGTCTGTTCTCTAAACTCCACCATAGCCTTCATAGTTTTAGAATCTGCTAATGCCATCAGCCAGAAAAGTTTGGTCCTACCACAGCCCTCGTGGAGATCAACTTTTATAGCTTCTTCTTCTTCTTTGAATACCTGTCAGGTTAACCAGATAATAAATAGCATCTCTGTGTTATTTTTGTCACTGTCTCTCTGGATTTTCATCAGATGTTGTATAAATTCTGCCAAGTTTGTCTACTGCAAGCTATTTTTGCTTTATCCATATTGTAGAATGGATAAAAGCTTTGTGTTTTTAAAAGTAAAATGATATAAAATTAATGCTTGAGCTAACATGGCTGGGAAACAATAATGCAGCAATCCCAAGAAGAATGCTGCATATTTTTTTCTAATTTAAAAAATACTGAGCTTGGACTTCAGAACTACTACTCAACCCATCCAATAGGCCACAGTATATTACAAGCACAAGATAACATTAAAAATATCTTCATATAATCCTGTTAGTAGTTTATCAGAGCAACATTGATAGTTATGGTCTTAATATGTACTATATAACAGAGATCATATAAGTCTGTAATATTAGTATTTTTGACTTTCACATAAATATACAGTGGATACTTTTGGCTACAATGAGGAAATTGTTAAATTTTTGCAAAATCAAAAAACTGCATGAGATCCTTAGTGGACTTTATCCAGTCTCCTTTCCTAAGTTCTGATGGCAGTTCTGTTTTCATTCATTTAACCTGCAATGAAATAAAAACTGGAATTTTCCTGGATAAGAATTGGCTTAAGCAGGCTGTGATAACTTACATGCTGTCCTTTCTTGGAGTCAGAGAAAATACACTAGAAGGTATGTACAACAGAAATTGGACAAAAAATAGGAAGCTAACAGAATATAGGAGACAGGGAACATGACAGAATTTAAAATTTAAGTTGAAGGGCTTGACATAAGAGATGTGAAGGTAAAGGTGGTGAATAAAGAGTGAAAGTTTCAACATGCTTCCAGAAGTAATTAAGAAAATCTAGTAATTAGCTATTTTGGACAGATTAATGGAGAAATGTGAGGACTTCTGTGAGATAGGAACTTACTTTTTATCAACTGTAATCTGAACAGCCTATATAGGAGAAATCAGAAAAATAAATGAGACTAGACTGTGCTGTGACAGAAGAGTAGACACGTAAAATCATAATCTTCAGATGACAAACCAAGAAAATTTCAAAGGGGATTGCAAAGACTCTGGCTAAGAAACAGAAAACAGCAGATCCCCATGGAACTTCCAGGCTGAGACTACACTCAAATGCTGAGGCACCATGGATGAGATCTGTAAAGTGAAACTCAGTGCCAGTGATCTGATGTTTACATCATGCATGCTCTAGACTAGCTGATCCCTTGCACTGAATAACCATTAGCAGTGTCTCTCTGCATCTGTCTTTTTTTGGTTTATTTTAGCTTCACCTGAGAAGAATCCAGTTCATGGACTCCAAGGCTGCTCTATAACACAAATCATAGCATGTTCAGGAGAGATGATCATATCTGCTTCAAAAGCCCATTCCTGATTGTAACTAAAAACCTAATGTAGATGCACTCTAGGAGATGGAGAAGAGGAATGACTTCCATTGAATTAGCTTTATTAATGAGGTTTATTATTTTAGCTTTTGTATAAATGTAAGGTGTCAGAGGGAAAGGGGAAAATAATGATCCACAAAAACCACAAAAGAGAAATAGTGTTAAGAAAGAGGAAATGTCCAGTAGTTTCAGAAGCAAAGGCATCTTCAACATTAATTTCAATGAGAAAAAGGAGAATTCCATGGAGAATGTAGTTGCAGTGTTAGAGATGAAGAGGATAAAAGAATAACAGAGAATACTAATTAGCAGCGTACATAGAATTTTGTAAAAATTCACCTAATTCAAAGAGGAAAGATGTTTCAGTCCTAAAAACAAAACTAAAAGAAGTCAGAAAATTTTCAAGCTTATGGATATGAGACATATTTATCTGTGAGAAGATAATGAGAGCTGAAAGAATATGGAAAAATTAGAGAAGAGTGACATAAGGGAGCCAGTAGGAATATTTGCTGTCAAGTGGTCTTCCTTAAATGTATATACATTAAAAATGAAGGGGCTGACAAGCAGTGACTCATATGATAGAAGTAGTAATGGAGATCTAATTTAATGAGAATAAAGAACCAAGGTATAGTTAAGAAAGTCTACTCAGTACCTAGATTCTCCTAAAAAAATGTTCCTAAGCAAGAAAAAAGCTGATGTATCATAAGAGTTAGAATGAGGGATTGCTACACGATTTTCTATTTTCTTCAAAAGATAAAGGACAAGAGAATATAACTTAAAACAACTGAAAAGAATTAAATGGAAACTTATCTATTTCATCTCCAACATAAAAGAAAACACCATTTTCAGATTTGATACTTGCTAATGCCTTTTGCTTATATATTAATTGGGGAAATGCACACAGTGTATGCAGTGCATATAACATGATGTCATGTATACTCGACCTGTCTCTGATGGGTTTTTGTTCGCCGATGGAGATGAAGGAATCGGTCACAATCTGTACACAAATTCCCACAGACATTACATAAAATGATTGCGGCAGTTTCACCATCATCATGGTTATCACACATTGGCTGAAAAAAAAAAGAAAAAATATGGAATAATTCTCTCTTTATTAAATCCTTCATTTCCTTTTAGCATCCGTTTTTATTCTCCCCACAGGCATGCCCCCAAATTAATAAAGGGGGATAAAGAGCTTGTTTAGACTATTAATTGTATTTTTAGAATAACCAGTATCTAAACAATTGCTCCTGGACACAAAAAGACCCAATTTAGTACATCAGTTCTTCTGATATTCTTGATCTCATATTTTGCATGATGTAGCAATAATGCATTTTTCAACAATATAGTTAAAACATTATTTTCAACTAGTCTGAGAAAAGATTTATGTGGTAACAATGGGTTATGGGGACATTAACAGGAAAGATCAGAGATATGAGTGCTCAGGTGAGTCAACAGACACAGTATTTAACCTTCATTACTTTGATACGGTATGTTTACTCTGTTCAAACATCTAATCAAAGCTGTAGGTCATCTATAAGTCATCTATAAGAGAAAACAGTCAAAGTAACAAACTTCAAAATCAATCATAAAATTAAGTTGCTCTACTGATATAATTTCTTTTAAATTCAGCACAGTTCTGTTTTGCAGTTCAAAATATGTGTACAAATAGAGTTCAATGACTGATTTTGATTATACATATGGATATGTCTGAGAACAAGTTTCCATCGTACCCCCAGAACATGTGGTTTCCACGATATGGCTCCTACAACTTAGAACAGAATCCTTTCAACAGCAGTCCTGGTAGTGGGGGGACACAGTTCACCTCAACATTTGAATATCCTGGTATAAAATAGGACTGGGGACTTTCAGGATGGGTTCAACAGCTTGTATTCCTGCTTGACAATGTCTTGGTTGCTCTTCTGACGTTTCCAAAGCTCTACAGAAGTCCCTTGACTTTCTTAATCACCTTTGAAACCTTTGTGTCTGCTTCCTTCTGAGCAGAGTTTTAGTCTTTGCTGCTGCTGCAGCTCCGTGTCTCCTGTATTCTCTTTCTATCCACACTAAACTGCTTTGGAGGCTTATTTGCTCTAAGCATTCTCAGTTGCTAGCTGGAAGGCACAATCTTCCCTTGCCTCCCACAGGGATCCACCTAACCAAGTTATAAAGTTATAAAGAGACTACTACCTTCATTATTTTGCTCTTTCAGGATTGGTATTAAAAAAATCATAAGCTTTTTCTGATACAGATGTATATAGACAGAAACTCAATTAACCCATCATATTCGATATTAAATTTATAAATTCTCTGGGTAAATGGTAGCTTTACTAAATTAAGTTAGAAAGAGTTTCTTTCTCTTTGGGGTGATCACTACCTACGGAGATGGGGAAGAGGAAGCCAAATTATGGAGAAGAAGTTACTGAGGAACACAAAAAGAATTTTATTATGTGACAGAGATCCAGGGAGAAAGAAGCTCTGATAGAGGGTGTCATATTAACTGAGTCAACCTACTCTCAAAAATCCAGTACCAGTAGAATTGCTACCTTATTGTTTTAAGTTGGAATTTTTGTTTTCTGAGCAGTGCTTGCCTAGAACACAAATACTTCAAACATGTACAGTCTCCACTGGGGACAAAAGGGAGGAATAAGGTTAGGCCAAGTCTACCTTTCCCTATAATTTTTCTGTGACTACAGAATAAATAAAAATGTATGATTTTCAGTCTCACCATCTGTTTCTGTTGTCCATCCTTTCCCATCCATCTTCCTGAGGATAGTCTATCAACATGATCCTGATCAAGTACACAGAGGGATGCTAAGGCCAGCCATAGCTATTGAAAGGAAAGGTAATGTTTTAGAAATACTAAAAAAAAAACGAACTAAAAATGCAAACTTGCAGATACAAATATCACTGTTACCTACAAACTGTATCATCATTAGCTGAAGCCTGCTCATACAATGAAAGTTTTTTTATTTTCCAAAAGGAGTCAAGCACACAATAAAACTTACTGAACTTCTGGGAAACTACCTTGTTTCTTTCAGGTATGTCACTTTATGATCATAAATACAGTAGTCAGCACACAAGGGAGAGATGGCGAAGAAATATCAACCAGAGTACATTAGAGAGAAATATGGCAAATACAGACTTGCATATCACTCCCAGACATTGTAGGCTTTGGGGGAGAAGAAGAAGAAATTCAAGGGCACAGACTAATAAAAAAACCCCCCAAATCCCAAAACTTTATCTCAATGAGACTGGTTTCCTTCTGTTTTCTCCTTGCTGCATGGAGCATTTGAGATTACCTTGAAAAAGGTTCTTAGCTAACTGCTCTTGAGAGGAGGCTTTTCTCTCTTCCTCTCCATTGATTACAGTTAAATCCTAAAGAGATGAGCTACATGAAGATAATTTGTTGGTGGGCCTGCAACCCAAAATGAAATGCACTTGACAGCTGCATTTTACAACAGTTTTTGATCTAAGGTTTGATTTGAACAAAATGGCTTTTGTTGAAAAAATTTTATTGGACTTCTCCCAGAAAACCACACCTCCATGGCAGAACCAAGTTCATTGTGAGGCTGACATTCAGGGCTCCTCCAAGACCTGATTAAACTAACACAGTGACACAGCAGGGGCTGGTGGTACTCTGAGACTGTGTCTCCTAAAGAGCAGAGAATATATGAGTAAGTCGATGAAAAGGACAACTGGCACAGCCTTTCAAGATGGAAAACAACATGAGGGTCAAATACTTGTAACCATGGCAAACCTTTTATTTTACAGGTAATTATTATGCTTGAGAAGCCAAAAACTGTAAAGATAGTGGGAATGTCGTATTTGACAAGCATGCTTTTCATGGTATTTCAGGCAATCTATTAAGGTTAAGTTAGTACCAGTTTCTACAAAAGATTTATGGAAGAAGTAAAGTGGAAGAAGTAAAGACAAAGGAAAAAAAACAGCCTTGGTAAATAATAAAGGGCTCAACAAATGATTTTTCATTTTTAGAGTAAAACACAGGTGAATTTTAACTGAATTGTCCCAGAGAATGTCTGTTCTTGAGTGTTTTCACAATAACCTTCAGATGTGGCAGCTGATGACCTAGAAGTCAAACCACTTAGTGCAGAGAGTTGGAAAAAGACAGCTGATACATATCATGCAATTTTCCACACAAATGATCTCATAAATTTAGTAAAAGGCAAGTATCACAAACTTAAAAGCAGAATTACCTCGAGGATAAAAACCCAAATGTATAAGCATAATACTTATTCTTCATTATTTGGGAGGTACCCAAGATGCATATTTAATCACAATTCAGTTTTTACTGGTGTATTTCTGCCACAAAGAAGAAAACTCAATCTGCTGTGACACAGAGAAAGCAAGACTTTTATTAGGACAAACAGTGATTGCCTTAGTTAGGATACCTGTCCACATGCACACAGCTAGATCTGGAGAATATAAACTGTACACTGTATGCATTGTTTCCTTAATCTGTATAAGGAAGTTTTTTCTAAAATATAGGAAGGCTCTTGGATGGGCTCCTATGGCAAGTTTACAATGACTAATATTAAGTAAAGTTCTTACTCTGGTTGTTGCAATGCACCTCACTGGTGATCTGTATTCTTCTTCCATTTTGGTCAGAGCTATGATGGTTTCAGCAATAGCATTCTTTGTCACACGGGACCAAGCTTCTGACAGATGACCCTGTTAACGGGAAATTCAATTTATTACAGCTTTTATTAAGAACAACTAAAACTGTAATTACAACTTCTACAAGCAACATCAGGTTAGGATCTCAAGCTAGAATAGAAAAAAAGGAACTCAGGGATGACTGACAAATCAGGTGTTTTCAAATCAGACAGATTTGGTAAAAATTAGCCATCAAATACTCAGGTGACTGACTTACGTAGTATCTGAGCAACTATTGGAATAACTAAACCCACCCTGCCCTGGAGAAAGAAAGGTGCAGAGCTGGAGTATACATAAGTGACTGTGAATAACGCAGATTACAGTGGGTAAGTAAGCAGAAACAAAAATCCATCATGTGGAATCACAGTGCTACCTACAACAGATCTTTCCCTTCTAGTCACTGGAGCAACTGAAGCAAAGACTAAGTGATCATTTTATGAACAGACCAGCACTGCTGAGGGACGAGACACACTTTAATTGCAACTCTTAACTATGGGTGAATTGTGAGATTCTGAAATCTTGTGGTCAGAATCAACAGTTGCAATTGCAGAGAATTCCCATCCAGCTTCAGCAACTTTGAGAAGGATCTAAGCACAGTGAATGGTTTAGAAAATAGGACTCCAAAGCTGAACATACTGAAACAGCTTTCAAAAGGTAATCACAGAGGAAAATCTGGGTCATTTAGAGCATCTCACTGAAACAGGTACAGACTTAAGGAAAACAAAAACAGCCTCCCAGCTAAACTCTTTTCCCCTAAACATATACAAGACTTTCAAGGCTTTTTTTTTTTTTTTGCCAATCTTGTTTCTAGGAAATAGCTGAATCACTCTTCATCAAATTCTGCCAAAAAAGACTCTTGCCTGAAGCAGATACAACTATTGAAAATTTCAGCCCAGATGGTTAAAGTAATAAACAACTATAAACGTAGATTTCAGTATGACAGAAAGAAGTCAATCTTAACATGCAGTCTTAACCAGAATCTCCACATATAAAATCTACATACAATTACATGAAAACAATACTATTATCTTACTCCACACTCACTTTCTACTTTTTAATTGAAGTTCTGAGTCGTCAAGACTTAAAAAATTAGGCTTCTAAGTTAATAGTGTAGAAAATGACACACAATTATTGTTTACTTCTTAAATTTCTGGTACAAGTGACTTATTTAAAAGCTTGTTTCAATACTGGATTTCTGTTCAGCAGAATCAGAACTCAATTCCCTACTGCTCCTAGGCCTAGACTCTGTCCAGAAGACTATACCTTTTTCTTCTTGAGACCAACTCACATTTAACAGCTCAACCCAATACTAACTGTAATATAATGAAAAAAGGTACTGTTCATTATCAGAAATAATTGAATATCCTCCATACATTTAAAGGACAGAAACTTACTGCTGCCATGTCTTTAATGAGTTTAATAATGATCTCTGAAATCTGTGTAGGTGTTGAACCCTTCATCCACCAATGGCTTTCACCTCGCCGAAGGTAGCTGCAAAAAACATATGGTAATACATGAAATTAATCCAAGTAATTAGTTACTATTTGTCAAAATCCACCACAAAGAAATAGTGCACATATTCAGGATATAGTAGGTTGTGAGGTTTTTATTTTTTTTTTTAAATCAAACTCACTAATAACATGACTCATACTGTCAAAGTGTTACACAATTTTTTTAGTTTATAAAACAAAGATTATAAAAGTCAACATACCTGACTTCAAAGAATGTAATTATTTTGTGGCTTTAGCTTGAGAATATATACTTATTTTTAAACACACCTGGAATTGAAGATCATTGGAAGTGTGACTGTAGTAACTCCTTTGCCTGCAGTAGTGCCAGCTGTCCCGGTTATAGTAGTTCCTTTGGCTTTTAGCTGTACAGTGAGAGCTTTGGCAATGCATCCCAAAAACATGTCTAAGATACCTAGTTTATTCCAATCTCCTTTTTCTGTTGAGTGAATGATATCACTTATATCTGCTGGTGGAAGAGACTTCACTCCTATAATACTAGCCAGGCGACTAGGGGTTACCTCAGGCAAAACACGTCTTAGTAATGAGGTTACCTGGAGAAAAAAAAAATCAAAACACCACAATTCTTACCAAGAGAGTTGGGGCTTTCAAGCAAAATCAAATAAAG